CAGCCGCCGGGTTTGTTTTTAAAGCCATTAGGCCTGGGATTCAAACCACAGAGTCAGCCATATGGGATCCAGCACCTTAACTTCCACACCATCTGCTTGCCTGAATTTTTTTTAATTGCCAGATGGCACCTTCACTCACCAGAGACAGAGACAGAGAGAAGAGGAAGAAAGCACCTCCCAATGGGGTGTGGTCCTGCCACAATCCCTTCTCCTCCATTTCTTTCATATTATTGGGGTTTGGGGACACATGTGCACACACACACACACACACACACACACAGACACACAGACACACAGAGCCTGTGTGTTTTCCAAAACCTCTGGGCCTGGGATTCAAACTGTGGTTGGCCATGTGGGATCTGGCTCCCTTCCTATGAAGCTGTGGGGCTGGCCTGGGACCTGTTGAATTTAAGAGCTCCAGGAACCCCTACAGGGGGGCCGCAATAGAACACTGGGAGTGGTCCGGTGAACCTAGCCGCTAAGCAAACGTGAAGACTGACCACACTCAGCTAACACCTTTTGTTCATGATATATGATAACCAAGAAGAGAACAGCTAAGTACCTTGCTAAAGGAAAAACACGGAATGAGGAAGAATGACTTAAGGAAAAGGAAGAAGTCCCTGACCATCATGCCAGGAACTACATCCAAAGAGGGCTTTGATGGGGTGAGGGGAGGAGGGGGTAGTCTTACTGCGAGGAGCATTGGTTTGGCCTGCATATGGGGATGCAGATGGATTTGTTTGAATGAAAATAGATGGTCTAGTTTGCAAGGGAAAAGACTTTTTTTTCTTACCCTGGTTACCAGAGGGCAGTTACTGCCCTGAAAAGGAATCAACACAAAGAAGAAATTGCATGAAATGAGAATATGTATTTTTGATAGCAAAGGAATGGAAGAACATATTGTATATACAGAAAAGGCCTTGCAGATTGAATTAGCCAGTCCCAAACTGAAGCCAGGGTCATTCCATTGCAATTTCCAAACAAATACTCTCCATCATCCATTACACACACTCAAGAATTTGGCCTTTTATAGCACTATTTATTCTCCAGGCATCTAAACAGTCTGCAAAAGTGAAAACACAACCGTGGGCACAGCCGAGGCCTTATACATGGTGTTTGGGATACTTCCTATGAGCACGTATTATACACACGTATTCTGCTCAAGGAAAGATACCAGGCCAAGCCCAAGAGGGTCACAGCCCAGGGGGTAACCTGTGCCTAAGAAACCAAGTCCCTGAACTGGGGTTTATCATTTTTAAAAATTTCTTCCATGAGAGAGAGAGGGAGGGAGAAAGGGAGCCCTCCCACAGGGTCTTAATTCTGCACTCCACTCCCTGAGTGAGCTGCGTGTGCCCGGTGTGTTCAGGGAGGTCGCCAGACATGAACCCGGAACCTTCCCAAGTGGATCAGCCTTGCACAGCATTGCATTTTACTGTTGTGCCACTTAATTAAAGTTTTGAGAAGGGCTAGCTAGGACTCAGAGCTGACAGTCTTTCCCTGCAGTTTACAACGCAGCTCCCCTTTAGATGCACCTGCGCTCAGACTAAGGCTATTGTGGCTGGTCAGTGACAGATGGAGCTACTTGTGAGCAATCCTTTTTTTTTTTTTTTGAGAGAGTTTTTTTGTTATAGGGCACATGCGTTCACAGAAGAGACAGAGAGATGGAAAGTAAGAAATCACACCTCAGGAGGGGTGGCCATCTCACACTCCCTTCTTCCCCATTCTCCTCTCAGGATTTTGGGAACACAAGCACATGTGCCTGGCACAAATTTCAAGCATCCGAGACTAGGATTCGAACCATGGTCGACCATGTGGAAGTCTAGTGCCTTAACCATTATGCCACCTGCTGGCCCCACACAACTGTTTATTAGCCTCAAATAACATAATCTGGATCAGGAAAATCCCTAACTATGAAACTTTCTCCTCCTAATAAACAGCTGTTCAGACAAGACGATGGCTCGTCTCCCCAGTGACTTCAAAGAAATGGTATAAGCAGCATGGAATGTTTTTTGGATTTGAAACACAACAGGAAGAAGATATATCAACCCACGTGTCACTGGTTCACGGCAGCCAGTTCATCTTACAAAAAGAAATGTTCCTGCAAACCAAGTCTTGTCTAATAGAAAGACTCTTGTCATCGTCATCTCTGTCACAGTCAGGCGAAAGCCTGGAGGTGTCCACTTGGATCTAGACATACCTATTTGTTAATAAGCCAATTAGCCTCGACAAAGGCAGCAATACTGCCGTCAGTATCCAGCTCCGTGGATTTCCGCAAAGTCACCTGTGCATATAGTGGACATCAGATAAAAGATGAGGACTTCCGGCTGGAAGCCCTTCTTCTGCCCCTCCCAGTCACCACTGCTCTCCAATACTGTGTCTTTCAACAATTGCTTGTGTGTGACTGTGACTTGCCCCTTTCTTTGATATGCTGTGGAATTTTAAGGAATGCCTCTAGACTAGACTCCAGTTTCCTCCTGTATCTACATACAGTTTTGGCCCTAAGAAGAAAAGAACTTGGGCTGAAGTTATTGGAACATTACACACAATGAAAATTCTGAAATGTAAGGGATGGGGAAGGTGTTTGGAGACCCTCAGATCTCCTTCTACCAAACAGGGGGCTAGGATCGAACTCACATCCTCCTGAATCCCAGTCCAGAACTTCTTCAGTACTACTAACCAGGTCACCACTAAATTTAGCATTGAGTGGTTTGTTTGACCACACAGTCTTGACACAGCTTCATACAACTGTATCTAAAGGGAATATTCCAGATGACTACGATATTACCAGATATCAAAGTATCATGGGAAGAAAGGAAAGATAGAAACAGAAAGATACAAGGACTGGGCCTTGTCACAGCAATAACTTGCAATGATCTGTGAGGCTGACTCACATGGGAAGGTTTTGAGTTCAAGACCAGAGACCTCCCCGAGTACACAGAGCATGTATGATGCCATGATGTCATGACCCCGTTGGGGGTACTATGCCTTATCACTCTCTCTTTCTCTCTCTCTCTCACACCCATGGAAGAAATACAAAATAAACTTTAAAAAAATTGGTATAGGAGCCAGCAGGTGGTGTAGTGGTTGAGGCGCTAGACTCCTACAAGGCCAACCACAGATCAAGTCCTGGACCTGGTGACTTGAAACTCACACCAGTTCCACATGCCCATGCCCAAAATCCAGAGAGGAGAAGGGATTGTGGTGCAGTCATCTCCCCTGAGGGTGATTTCTCACTTTCTCTCTGTCTCTCCAGTAAGTGCATGGTGCCCTTTAACAAAAAAATATCTCCCTCTCAAAAAAAAAAAAAATAGAGTATAAAATTAGAATTATACTAATGAACAATAAGTACTTCTTTAAGAAAATTTTAAAAAAAAATCTTACTTAAGGGACTTTTTCTTCCTAACTGAAAGACTCAATCCACTGGTAATGGTTAACATGCCAACCGGTTGGGGGTTGGGATATGTCTGGGCAAACACTGGGGCTGGGACATGGGCCCTTATGGTCTATTGTCTGATGACATGTTAAGATCCTCAGCAGGTTTGGCAGGGCTCAAGGAAGTATCCTTTGTAGCTCTGAATTTGAATTCCCAAGCGGCCGGTCATCTCCCATATGACTTTGACCAAGTTATTAAATCTCTCTGAACCTCCATTTGGGCATCTGTAAATGACAGGCAATTCCTATATCTCAATGAGCTGTCTTCAGAATTCAATGAGATGTCGTCCGCCCTGCGCCTGACCATTTAGTAGATTCCCAGTAACTATTAACCTCCTTCTCTGTGCAGACCAAATTTGTTTCATCCAAAAGGAGCTTAAGGCACAAAACGATACACAGCAACACCCAATGTTCTATTGTTGATCTATGGCTTAGTCTGAATTGAAAAAGAACCTGCTGTGTTTGAGAAGGGATTGATGGAAACACTTGGCTGTCATCCAGGGCCTCTTTCTCGCCTTCTCTTGAGGTCTGAGTTGGGAAGTCCTCCCAGGAAGGAAGGTGATGTGCACCCATCAGGGTATCATCATAGCTGGCCAGTGGCATGACAGGCCGAGAGTTAGTGGCAGGTGACATCCTAATGCAAGACATTTAGGTTCCGAGAAAAGCCTACAATGTGGGACTTCTAGTGTTAGATAGCTGGGCAGGATGGAGGTGAGGAAGATGGGTCAAGAGTAGGCCTGGGGTCCAGCAGGTGGTGCAGTGGTAAAGGCACTGGATTCCCACATGACTGACTGTGGTTTGAGTCTTGGACCCAGCAATTTGAAAATCATGCTGGGCACATGTGTACGTGTGCCCAAAATCCCAGGAGGAGAATGGGGGGGAATGGATTGTGATGTGGCCATCTCCCTTTGGGTGTGATTTCTCGGAAAGTGAGAACATACTCTATGGCAAAAACCCACCAAAAGGAAAAAAAAAAAAAAGGGCTTGGGAAAGAGGCAGACTATTTCATGAAATTGCCCTCATGTGAAATCCTGATTGGCATTCCAAGCCCCAGCAGTAACTAAATTGCCCCACCTATCAAAAGAAGCCTGTTCCTGGGACCAGCAGTTAGCGTAATGTTCCGAGAAAAGCCTACAATGTGGGACTTCTAGTGTTAGATAGCTGGGCAGGATGGAGGTGAGGAAGATGGGTCAAGAGTAGGCCTGGGGTCCAGCAGGTGGTGCAGTGGTAAAGGCACTGGATTCCCACATGACTGACTGTGGTTTGAGTCTTGGACCCAGCAATTTGAAAATCATGCTGGGCACATGTGTACGTGTGCCCAAAATCCCAGGAGGAGAATGGGGGGGAATGGATTGTGATGTGGCCATCTCCCTTTGGGTGTGATTTCTCGGAAAGTGAGAACATACTCTATGGCAAAAACCCACCAAAAGGAAAAAAAAAAAAAAGGCTTGGGAAAGAGGCAGACTATTTCATGAAATTGCCCTCATGTGAAATCCTGATTGGCATTCCAAGCCCCAGCAGTAACTAAATTTCCCCACCTATCAAAAGAAGCCTGTTCCTGGGACCAGCAGTTAGCGTAATGGCTATGTCTCTGGACTCCCATGTAGCTAACTGCAGTTTGAGTCCTGGGACCTGGTGGCTTAAACTCGTGCCGGGCACATGTGCCTGTGTGTTCAAGATCCCGGGAGGAGGATAGAGGAGAAGGGAGTATGGTGTGGCCATGCCCCCGGGGGGTGGTTTCTCACTTTCTGTCTCTCTGTCTTTTTGGCGAGCGCATGTGCCCTATAGCAAAAACCTCTCAAAAAAAAAAAAAGAAGCCTGTTCCTGCGAGGGCATGAAGGTTCTCTTTTTCTTGTTTTTAAATTTATAAATAACAACAAAAAGAGTTTTTTTAAGGCAAGTTAGAAAATAATGGGGGTAGGCATTTACAAATATAATTGCTGATTGTTTTACATCACCTAACCCCAGGCTTCATCTGAAATAACAAATAGAAGCAGGAGACTCCAAACACAATAAAAGAATTCCACGGAGATCTACGTTTTTGTTTTTTTCACTCCCACTTGGGTTGTGTTTTAGTTTTTGGCTTAATACAGAGCAAACATACTGTGACTTCAAGATCATCATAACACAGAACTGAAGCTTTGCGTTGTTTAAAAGAAGTACTGAGATATAAATTATATTCTTAATAGCCCTTGCTTACAGGAAGATGATGGGAAAACATACATTGCCAAGGTACAATGGTAACGGGTCTGCTCTTAAGACAGAACCTCCCTGTGTCCCCTGAAAAACACCTGACCCCAGAAGTTGGCCCTATGAATATAAATTTTGCACAGAAGTGAGGTGACTAAAAAATTGAAGTACATTAAATAATACACGACCTGCCATTTCTATCTCCCCCATAGGAAAACGCTTCTATTCCTTTTGTGAAATCACCACCTAGAACAACGCCACCCAAGGTGCATTCGGTCATCCGTTGACGGCTTTAAGGATATTTTGTCCTCACACCCCACACTCCTGCAGAAGGCGACAGCAGTTTTAACTCATCGTTTTAGTATGGATTCCTGATGTCACCGCTGTCTAAGATGATTGCAGCAAGTGGAAAGGTTAGGTCTTGGCTCCTGAGCAGTCTTTGGTTCTCAGGCAAGTTGGTCTAGAAATGTCCAGGGGCCAGCAGGTGGCGTGGTAGGTAAGGTGTTGTACTCCCACATGGCTGACTGTGGCTTGAGTCCCTGAGCTGGTGCCTTGAAAATCACATCAGGTGAGTGTGCATACATGCCCAAAAGCTTAGGAGAAGAATGGAGGAGAAGGGATTGCAGCATGGTCATCCCCTCTGGGTGTGATTTCTTACTTGCCCTCTCACTGTCTTTGTCTCTTCCCTACGAGCACATGTCTGCTAGCTATAGCAAAAACCTTAAAAAAGAAAAAGAAAAAGAAAGAAAAGAAAAGCAATACTGGCCAGGACTGAGGCCAGGACACCACGAAGCTCTGTGTTTAGTCTCTGTCTCTGGGATGGTGGCAGCTGTGAGCTACAGATACCATCTGCTGAAGGCAGAGGGCTAGCTAACTGTGCTGTTCTGGATTTCTTCACAGTCCACAGTTCTACCAACCTCTCCCCTCACTGCCAGCATTTTCTCCATCAGGCTGGACACCCACAAACGGCACACTGAGTCCACCGTGAAGGCCCTGGGCCGAGGAGCGTTACGCCTCCAACGATACTCGCAGCTGATGCCTCCCCGGTGGTGTTTTTGGCCTCTGAAGGCGTATGGAAGAGGACTTCACCCCGCCGACAGAAGGTATATAACTAGATATCAGAAGATAGCGTGGAAATAATGTGTTTCAGCATTTGCAAGCAATGTCTTTGACTGGAGCAAAGCACATTACACCCCATTAACGATGGTATCTACTAATTGGGAACTGGAGACTATTTTCTGGGCTGACATTTATCCTCCCAGTATCTGTGGAAAGAAGAGGTTTGCTAAGAAAATAGAGTTGAAATAATAAAGGGTAGAAATAATGGTAATGTTTAAACTATCTAAGAGACAATTTCTAAGGACTCCAAGGTGCTTGTTTATATGATAGCAACAAATTATTATTTGTTTCCTTTATTGCCAGAGAGTGTGTGCACTCATCAGAGAGAAACAGAGAGAGAGAAAGCACCCCCCCCCAGGGGGATGTGGTCATGCCACAATCCCCTCTCCTCTCTTTCTCCTTCCCGTCAAGATTTTGGGCACTGCCACCAGGGCCAGGATTGAATCACAGTTGGCCACGTAGCATCTGGCTTCCTTAATTGGACAATGGCGGCTGCCCACAATGAATTATTTTCTATCTAGTCGCTAAAGCCAGCTGTCTCCTTCCTGGCTTTCCCCATGTCCGTCCAGATACTAGCATTCCCTAATTCAATCTACTTATAGCACAACTAACCAGTTTCCCCAACTAGTCACCTCACGGTAGGATTTCTTTCTCTGTCTTGCTGCCTCCTCCTCCTCTCTCTAACCCAGAGCCTCCTAAACAAAGCTGTTCTAGAGCCAAAGGATTCTCACAAGGGATCCTGTTCCCCACCCCTGCCCTCTCCAGTGATTCAGCAATCTGCTGCCCAATTGGTCTTCCACAATTTTCTGTAAGAATCCAAGACTCTTACATCCCAGAACATTAAGATGTTCAACTGCACTGCAGGTTCCTTGTTCCCAGCCCTGCACTCGGCAGAGTGCTAGAATAAATGTAGGCCTGCAATATCTGTCTGAAACCCTTGGGGCCAGATGCATTTCGAGATGCATCCTTTTTCTGATTGTAAGACGATAACACGGTGCCTAAGAGATATTTTACGTAACATCCCAGTGAGCCGGGAGCAACAGTTCATAAGCAAGCACAATGATATTTCTGTAAGAAAATAGATGAATTTTTTCATTGTTGTAATCCATAAAGGCTAAACATAGCCTTCTGCTTGGGATTACCGCCATATAATTTATTCCAAAAAACTTTGGTTGGTAGGGGTTTTTGATTTGGAGTTGTGATTAAGGGATTGAAGAACTGTTGTAGTTCGAGAGTGACCATTTATCACTGTCCCAGCTTGGAAGAAATCTTTTTTTTTTTTTTAAATCTCCTTACCTCTCACTTTGGTTAATTCAGATTGGTCTTTTCTATAATTAGTCCACATTATTGTTTACTAAACTGTCTTCAGATGATAAGAACAAGAGTATCCCTATCATTTTAAATTTTCCTCATGTTAATTCTGTTTCAAAGCATTTTCACCTTGCTTGCCATAAAAGTCGCATTTTAGCTGTATATTTTAGCAAAATGTAAATACAGTTATTTTGTTTTTCCTCTGCCTAAAGAAAGGCTTTGTTGAAGTATAGGAGGTTTATTATCCTTCAGCAGGGTGGATTCACACTTTAAAAATCCTAGTTATGTTAACCTTTCTCCTCTCCTTAAAACAAGAGTTAAGCTTTAAAAGGCGAGTTTATCTAATGTGTAACATAAGTCTATCAAGCAAATCACAGAAAACCCCCCATGCGCTGTTAAACATATACTGTTATCACTCTTTCAGGTCGAGTTTTAACTTGACCAATAAACCCTTCTTTAAATACAGCCAAGCCAAACATTAAGCCAGCAATGCAGGGTTTGTATATACATCACGGGATGCTGGCCGTATGGGTCACAGCACTCTGACAGGCAATTCCTAGGCAGTTATTTTGACATTAGAAAGTCGCAATCCATCAACCTAACAGCAGGGCAATAATTTTGGGACCAGGAAGATGGCTATTGCAAATGACACCGTGGGAAGTAAACAGTAGTTCCAACAGCCTCTGTTTGAGAATGAAGACATAAACTAAGCAGAATTTCTTTCCACTTCTAGAACCAGCTATTATGTAATGCGTTTTGAGTAAGCATGTTATCTCTTGTGGTTGGCTAGAAAAGCCCAGCCTGTGAAGCTAAAAGCATTCAGGTGTCTGGACTCTTGAGCTGGAGAAGGGAAGAGATGGACTTGCTACCACAAGACTAACGAATGACAAAGAGTTCGGAATTCTCATTTTTGGTGACAAACCACTTCCCATGACCTCTGCTACCCCAGGCTGCAATTTCTGGAGGTGTTACCTGACCCTTTGTGTATTACAAATTAATCAGGTCACCAGTGCTCTGTGATATAGAGCTCCTTGGGTGTATGGAGGGGGCTACAGAGCTGATGATAACATTGAGAGCCCCTTCTGCACACACAGAGCCTTGGTTCCCACTCTGCTCTCCTGAACAAAGGAATGCAGATGAGACCACCCTGTCTTCTGGGGTTGTGTCAGCAGCTGGGCTTGTGGGTAACAAGAATCAGGAAGCTCCCTGGCTGCTCGGTTGGTCATGGGGTGGGTTGGAGTGGCGGGTGGGTAGGAAGGAAAGACCTCAGTGCAACGGTTCTCAAATGTTCTCATTTATAATAGCTCTGAGAACACACACACAAGCCCTGAGGAGTGGCCATGCTGTTGATAACGGGACAGTAAGCACATCTTTTCTTTACTCTGGAAAGGAGAAATGAAAAAGGAAGAATGAACAAGAAATTATGTACTGAGAACTAAGATGGTAGGAAGGAAAGTTAGATATGTGCAGATACTACAGCTAGGAAGAAAGATGAAATCCAGAGGTCAAGATTTCCTTAAAGAGCTGTGTTGCTTCCATGGAAACCAATGAAGGCTTTGTGGTGACCAATATCCCACCTGGGCCATGACATGTCCTCCTGGGACTAATGTTCTTGCTGCCGACCTCCACTTGGCCCTGGCTTGTCGGCCTGACATACTGATGACATGTAAAGAAATTACTTTTGGGTTAAACTTCGCTGTTTTTTTTTTTTTTTTTTAAGAAATTCACTATATACATGAAATCAAGGTAAAGAACAAGCACTCTTAAAGCAAAGATGGAGAGGATTATTACTGTACAAGTATTTTTGTTGTTTTTATTTTGTTTAGTTTTACTTTATTTTATTTTTCCGCAGAGTGCATGCGCTTGCTGGAGGTAGCTGAAGAGAGACAGAGAGAGGGAAAGGGAGAAATCACATCCCCCCCAAGGGTGTGTGTAGCCATGCTGCAATCTCTTCTCCTCTATTCTCCTCACGGGATTTTGGGTATGTACGCCCACACACCTAGTGTGATTTTTAAGCTACTGAGTCCGAGACTCAAACTGTAGTCGCCCATGTGGGAGTCCCGCGCCTTAACCACCATGTCACCTGCTGGCCCCCATCTATGTTCTAATCAACTTTTGTGGCTGTTTTCATCAAATTCTTCCTCTTTACTAAAACCTAGTTTCCTGTGAAGAACTATAACGCATACGCTGAAAGCATCTGAATAGCCATGTTTTAGAAAAGCAGTTCTTAAGTGGCCAACGCTAGAAGCAAAGTCAACGGTGTTTCCATACCTGGAGTCGCTATCCTTCCGTGAAGCACAGACTCGCTGGGCAGCAGATCTTTTGAATTGGAGGTGAATGGTGATTGTCTAAATGTATCTTCTGAAAAGAAAGGGCTGGGGTGGGGGAGGAAGAGTAAGATTGAGTAAATTAAAGTTGTTTAAGACAGCCAGAGCATCTAGCCCCCAATAAACACACACGCACACA